TGTGTTCCTCTCCAGTCTTTCCTCCCAAATCTTTATTTCCAACACTATTTGTGACCTCAGGAACTTGACCTATCTTGATCTTTAGTTCAACTACATCCGGGTGAGTTTCCAACGGCATCCTACAACTGTTCCAAGCTTCAGTACCTTGACCTCTCTCAGAACTACTTCGTTGAGCCGATTTCGGATGATATAGATCGCCTGAGTCAGCTCCAGTACCTGAGTTTGGGTGCTAACTGTTGTACCTCGTAAAAATAAATAGAAAAGAAAATAGATAGAAGAATAGCAAAAAACAATTAATTAAAGATGAAGATGAAAAGTAGAAAGATGTCACCGAAAGTATGAGGAGCTTGAGCTGAGGCGTGGATCAATCACTCTCTTTAGGACGTTTCGTGCCACTGGTGCAGTAGATTTTTATGGTCACGCCGCCCCTAGGATACAACAACCCAACCTCCTTGTTGTATCTTTACAAGTACTGCACTCTTGTAAAGAAAGTTCTACCCCACCACCTTTTCCTTGCCTAAAGAGAGTTTGTATCACTACTAGAATTCACAGCATCACCGAGAAGAAGCCATGTCGGAAAACAAAGGGGATCTTGTCGGTAAAAAACATTTTCAACAAGAATCATGTTGGTGATAGTCGCGTCGGTGTAAGCTTGCTCGGTAATTAATTCACCGATGTGACTTAAACTCATGTCGGTAACTTCCTTCAAATTACCGACAAAAAGCATGTCTTTAATTGACTACCGGAACCGTACTGTCGGAGCTCATTTCAAGTCAGTCACGTCGGTAAATTACCGACGAAATATATATCTGTAAATATTCATTGACAAAAGTACAACTGAGACCTAGACATTCATTTACCGACAAGAACTTTCTCTGAAACTTAAATTAGCAATTTGCAAAATAATTAATAATTTACATCTAAAAATTATCATGGACAAAACTGTGGTTTGAACCAAATTTTAATTTACCGACAAAACTTAATTGGAAAATTGGGTTACCAATTTGTAAAAGAAATTTATATTATTTCTGTTAAATGATATGTTTACACAATGAACCCATACACCTCTCTACACACAAGTAGTTCAGTGAAAAAAATAAACATAAAATGGGGATAAGGCTTATTCTATGCTTGTCTGAAAGAAATCTATTGGTTAGATCCGGCATATAGTGACATAGAAGGAAATGCTCCTCCAGTGAACCAAAGGCTCTTCTTCGCCTTCATTCCAGTTGAATGCAAGTCTTGAAGGTCACCTTGAAGGGAATTTGAAGGTCACCATGGCAAAAATCAACCTAATTGAGTGAACCCAAGCTCCATCGATGACCGATCATGTCCACCTCCGTTCGACACCCATCAAAGAAGTGCGTTGGTGACCCTTTAAGTGAGCAACATTTTAATGGAAAGAAAGAGAGACATATATGGGAGCAGAAGAAAGAAGAAGAGGAAGACGAAAACAAAATGAGAGGGTTGGGCAGTTCTGGGAATATATACAGCCTCTTATCTATGTGTACTTTGTCGGTATTCATTTTACCGACGTAAGACACATAGGTTCTATAAAATTTGACGCGGAAGCAAAAATATCTGAAAATTTTGTGTTGCCGCTTTATTTTTCACTGACAAGGTGATTGTTGGAAGCTAAGAATCAAAAATTTTGAGAGTCCCGCCATCATTTACCGACAAATGCATGGTGGGAAGTTGAAAGATGAATTTTTAATTGCCATCAAATAATTATTATAATATTAAAATTTCACATCAGAATTTTAACAAAAAAATTACTAAAAAATTATTAACAAACATCTATATATATAATTTATCTAAAACAATAAATTTGATAATGTTAATATCAAAT